GACTTCGGCGGTCCTGCCTTCCAGGTATTCTATTAGGGCCTTAAGTTCCGGGTCGGCCCGCTGTCGTTCAGCGAAGTCGTCGGTAGTTATTATTTCCAAGAAGTAGTCGGCATCCGGGTCATCGGGTGGTGGTTGGTCGACAGGCGCACGAGAGAGACAGGTGTCGGACTGTTTCTTGCCGGACTTGTGAATGACAATAATGTCATATTCTTGAAGTCTCAGGATCCATCGTGCGAGGCGACCTGAAGTGTCCTTCCAGGTGGCTAGCCAACACAAGGCGTGATGGTCGCTCACAACTTTGAAGGGCCTGCCGTAGAGGTAAGGGCGAAATTTCGACGTAGCCCAGATGATGGCGAGGCACTCCTTTTCTGTTGTGGAATAATTTGCTTCTGCTTTGGATAGCGATCGGCTGGCGTAACTAATAACCCTTTCAAGTCCGTCAGCCCTCTGCACAAGAACGGCGCCAAGACCTACGCTGCTTGCGTCAGTATGTATTTCTGTCTCGGCGAATTCGTCGAAATGGGCAAGTAACGGAGGCGTCTGGAGGCGATGTTTAAGCTCCTGGAAAGCGTGTTCCTGTGGCGTTTACCACTTGAACTCCACGTCGGCCTTGGTACGGTTAGTGAGAGGATTGGCGATGCGGGCGAAGTTTTTCACGAACCGCTTATAATAGGCGCACAGGCCCAGAAATCGGCGCACGGCCTTCTTGTCAGTGGGCGGCAGGAAGTCGGCGATGGCGGCTGTTTTCCATGGATCGGGACGAACTCCAGACTTGCTGATAACGTGTCCCAGAAACAAGAGCTGCTCATACGCAAATCTGCACTTTTCTGGCTTCAGTGTGAGTCCGGACGTCTTGATGGCTTGAAGTACATCTTCAAGGCGCCGAAGATGCTCGTCGAAACTCGAGGAAAACACGACGACGTCATCCAAGTACACAAGGCAAGTCTGCCACTTCAATCCTGCCAGTACTGTATCCATAACGCGTTGAAAAGTTGCAGGCGCTGAGCAAAGGCCGAAGGGCATCACCTTAAACTCGAAGAGGCCGTCCGGTGTTATAAACGCCGTCTTCTCTCGGTCTCTTTCGTCGACTTCGATTTGCCAATAGCCAGTCTTGAGGTCCATTGACGAAAAGTACTTGGCGTTATGGAGCCGATCAAGTGCGTCGTCTATTCGTGGTAGAGGATACACGTATTTTCTTGTGATTTTGTTCAGGCGGCGATAATCGACGCAGAAACGTAGGGTCCTATCCTTTTTCTTCACTAACACCACGGGGGATGCTCATGGACTCTTGGACGGCTGGATAATGTCATCCCGCAGCATTTCATCAACTTGTCTCTTCATGGCCTCACGTTCTCGCGTCGAAACCCTGTACGGACTCTGACGGAGTGGTCTGGCATTTTCTTTGGTTATGATGCGATGTTTCGTGATTGGGGTCTGCCGAATTTTCGATGACGACGAAAAGCAATCTTCGTATTGCAGAAGCAGGGCCTTGAGCTGTTCTTGCTTATTTTCGAAAGTCTGGGATTGACGTCGAAAGCTATGGGAGGGGCTTGGTTCCTCTGAGCAGGTTCCGCAGAATCGGCGAGGGCGAAAGCACTGGTGGCTTCGACAATTTCTTCGATGTATGCGACCGTTGTTCCTTTGTTCACATGTTTGTACTCAGTGCTGAAATTCGTGAGCATAACCGTTGCTTTGCCTCCTCGCAGCTCTGCAACTCCTCTTGCGACGCAAATATTTCGGGTGACCAACAGATGCTGACTGCCTTCAATGACGCCTTCCAAGTCAGGAGATTTAGGAGCGCCGACTGAAATAATGACGCTTGAGTGAGGCGGAACGGTGACTTATTCTTCCAGCACATTCAAGGCATGGTGTCCTGACGGCGTGCGCGGTGGTAGCGCTTCTTCTGTGGATAACGTTATCGACTTTGTTTTTAGGTTGATGACAGCACCATGGAGGCATAAGAAGTCCATGCCAAGGATGACATCTTTCGAGCAACGCTGTAGGGCTACGAAGTCTGTAGGATAAATACGGCCGTTAATGGTGACTCTCGCTGTGCAGATTCCTGCAGGCGTTACGAGATGACCTCCGGCTGTGCGGATTTCAGGGCCTTTCCAAGCTGTCCTAACTTTCTTTAACTTCGCGGCGAATGACCCGCTGATGACAAAATAGTCGGCTCCAGTATCGACGAGAGCGGTCACACTGTGGCCGTCGATAAGCACGCCGATGTCGCTAGTTCGCCGTCTCGCATTACAGTTAGGGCGTGGCGTCGGGTCACGGCTGCGTCGGCTTGTTCCGCTGCTTCCATGTTGCGTCGTCAGGCCACCTCCGGTAAGTGAGCTTTCGCCGCCAGGGCTTTGCCTGGTTGGCATTGTGTTCGGAAAGCTCCGTCGCGGCGGCGTTGTCGTCGGAGGATCTTCGGTAGTTCGTCGCACAGCAACCGCACCTCCTCCGGTTACTGCCCTTAGTTTCCCGGATACGGGCTAGGAGACCGGCCCCGCGTTCGGGCAGAGTACTGCCGGTGGTGCGGTGACGTGCGACGGCTGGGCGACGGCGAACGCGAAGGGCTTCGTGGTGCCCACCGAGTTCCTGTCAGGTAGTCGGCGATGTCGCGTGGTCGTTCTCCTGGCTGTGGACGCGGTGCATTGACGGCGAAGCCACGCAGTCCCATCTGTCGGTACTGGCAACGGCGGTAAGTGTCCTCGGCCTCGCCACAGTGGTAGCACAGTGGGCGGTGGTCAGGGGTGCGCCAAACGTTGGTTTTCCTCGGCGCACTGCGCTGGCCCGCTGGTGAACGGTAGGTCGTCGGTGGGGGTGGTGGCGGCGGTGGTGCCTGGCGATGGAAGGGTGACGGGGCGGCGTTTTGGTGTGGACGGGGAGGAGCGTTGTGGCGCAGTGCAGCGGCGTAGCTCAAAGTTTCTGGCTCAGGCAGCGGTGTTTGGGGAATTCGAAGTGATTGGCGAACTTCTTCTCGCGCAATGTCGGCGATCGAATCCACTTGAGGGTACGCCGAAAGCAACAGTTTGCGCAGCTCTTCCCGCACGATCGCTCGGATCGTTTCACGCAGGTTTTCGGAGTCACTGGTTTGAGCAGCAGCGCATTCTGGAGTCAGGCGACGATTATACTGTCTGGTGCGCATGTCAAGGGTTTTTTCGATGGTGGTCGCCTCGGATGCAAATTCTTGGACGGTGTTCGGTGGATTCCTCATTAGTCCCACGAAGAGCTCCTGTTTGACCCCTCGCATGAGGAAACGAACTTTCTTCTCCTCAGGCATGTCTGGGTCAGCGTGACGAAATAGGCGGGTCATCTCCTCTGTGAAAATTCCAACCTTCTCATTTAGTAGCTGAACCCGGGTCTCTAGTAGAGCAGCGGCCCTCTCTTTGCGAGCGACGCTCGCGAACGTTTGCAGAAATGCGCCGCAGAAGACATCCCACGTTCGGAGCGCGGACTCACGATTCTCTAGCCAGGTCCTTGCGGTGTCTTCCAGGTAGAAATACACACGACGGAGCTTTTCTTCGTTGTCCCAGTGGTTGAGGGCGGCCACACGGTCGTATGTTTCTAGCCAGGTTTCCGGGTCTTCAAATGATGACCCATGAAACGTTGGTGGCTCCCTGGGTTGATGAATGACGATCGCGGGCAGGGACGCTAAGGTTGTCATTGTCGCTGCAGTAGAGGTCATGGCCTTGACCTTTCGCACCTTGTCTTGTAGAAGCCCGTACTCCGGTGGGAGACCTTACTGTCGGCGGCTTGTTCGCTGCTTTTGATTGGCGTCAATGTCTTCTCCGCGACGTGGGCTGGGTTCACGGCTTGACGGGGGCGTCCGGTACATGAACGAAGCTGCACCTCTACCAGATGTCACAGGGTCGTGACGTGGCCGAAGACAGGAGACTTCGTGTTGGGATTTAACTGTTTATTTGGGCGAACCTGTGCCCGGTAAACGGAAAGTCCAATTACAGCAGTAGTCTTGCACAGATAGCAGTCTCGGACTGATAGTGGCGAACGGAGCGTCGGCCTTCGATCAACAGCTGACAAGCGGCGAAGCGCGTCGGTATTTATACTCTTGCTGTCGAATGTTCTAGCGTTATCCCTGGCGGTGGCGTAGGTTCCAGAACAATCTGTACCGTTCGCACAGTGGGCGTGATCTTATCGAAATGATCTACTACAGTCCGGAACCTTCTCGAAAACTGCAGGCGCAGTTTGCGCTGAGAATCGTGTGGTGTTTTGGGACGATAACAAGAACTTGGGAAATGGAACGTGGCAATATATTTTCTTTATATTCATTTTCAATTTGGGGCATGGCACAAATTTTGAAGTACGACTGGAGCCTCTCATATGCATGTTTCGTTTATTTGAAGGTGCCATTTAACAATCTTGAATTAATCCTGCAATGAACTAACATCTGAATGCCTTGCGAATTGCCTGCCACAAAATGTATTTTACTAGGTAAATTGTTCTGTGCTTGTTACACAAGCTGAAGATGATGACAATACTGACTGCCGCATCGTCACTGATGAGGCAGAGGATATCGCGTGTACAATTTAGGTGCACACACGAGGCCCAATGTCGGTGCTACATATCTAATTTAAACACGAGCGCGCGCAATATGTATGCTTTACCGCAATACACAGCGTGCCCTTCACCGCAAGGCACGACTGCCTTGCGGCACTGTTTAATTTTAAAAAGACGCTTAAGGTGACAATTTTGAGCGAATATTTATACTGCTCCCAGCATATCTTCATCTTTATTTCTTTTTTTTTTCCTTTGCATACACCCACAAGAACAGACATAGCTTAGAAAACCGATTATCGTAATCGGCGACAGCATATTTAAGCCACTTGGAAATAACGTCGTGTGAACGCCTGGTAATATTCTATCGCTTCCAACTTGTACATTTCGTATCTGTCTCACGCAGTTACACAAGAAGAAGCTTCAAAGAAAGTTTTGGCGCAAGCATACACTTCACCGAAGCGACACATTGATCCGTACGCTACACACGCACTTACCAGACATACACGTACGGCATACATCCACAAATAGCATAACACACGGTGTTCATGATCGGGCAAGTCGTTACCACATTGCTTATAGACAGTATTACAGAACGAGACCACGTATCCATGCGCAGAGGCGGTTCTCGCGAATGCACAAGGCTCCCGGCCAGGCAAAGACCACGGATAAATAACCACCGCACGGTAAAAATTCTCACAAGTTAGTGAGGAACCACCACCTAAACGTCCCCCAAAAAATGTCCAACACGGCGATTCTGTCGCCGTCTATTCATACGTTTTCAGCCAAGTCAAGCCGGTTTGAAGCGGCTATTGGGTGAACCGAACGTTTTGGCCCTCAAAAGGTTCGTGCCACCCGGTGGCAGCAGACGCAGCAGACCAAGGAGGATATAAAAATCCTCCTTGCGCGCTCCCAGTTCGCTGAACCATCATGAATTACCAACTAAACCACCTTTCCAACCATCTCAAGGACACAGCGACGCTGTACAAGCACAAATTTAAGATGAGCGCACCCGAGTCATTATCGATACCGCGCCGATGGCACGCGAACAGGTGTCTTGCATTAGCAAGCCCTCAGTGTCTCTGTGCGAGAACGTTTCGGTGCGCGCAAGTAGTTATATTATCTTTACTTTTCTGTTTCGTTTCCTTATAAACTTCTTTTTGCCTTTTTCTGTGCTTTTGTTTTTTTATTTTCTCCTAATCATGTTTTGCTCTTTGTGACATATGGTTTTTGTCAAATGGTTACTGTCTCCTCTATATATTTTCGCGCTTGGCGCGATAAACTCAGTTGGAAGTTAGCGCTCGTGTCCTTCGTGTTCTTCTTGTCTCTGTGCCGTCATTTTGTTCTCGCGCCTTAACTATCGTCTTGATGTCAGTGCTCCTTCAACAATTTTTTCAGCTGGCAACTACGGCTACCCTCAATCTGGCGATGGCGGCTGCGTCGTCAGCTCCTCCCGAAGATGTGAACCTGCTCTATCCAGTGCTCATGTCGTCCACGGCCATCGTCAACATTTTAAAAGAGGTAAGCTCTTTTAGGTAAGATCTGTGGGCAACGTAAACCAGTTGGTCTTCTCGTCCATTCGTTTTGTGTAGTAGGCAGTCGGGTGGCCTCCAGTAGATCACACGCGCTACCCTGAGGAAGGCGACGCCAGCTAATGCAACGCCAAACAGAACCTTTCCAGACATTAAGGTGAAACTTCTTGGATACCGAATGCAGGTCACCAGGTGTTGAGAGTTCACTATGCCGCAGGTGTTGTGGCAGATTTGTAATGGGGATTAGAGGCTGACACGTTTTAAAAGCGACACGATACGGACCGCAGCTTCCCATGGCAGTGTCTGGGGTTTTACGTCCCGAAATTACGATATGATTACGAGAGACACTGCAGGGCAGGATTTGAGAAATACCCACCACCTGATAATTGTTAACGTGCACTGACATCGTAGAGTGCGCGGGCCTCCTCCATCGAAATGAGGCCGGTGTCAAACCCGCTGTCAGAAGCCGCGGTGGGCTGCGTGGACTCACTGATATGCAGTGATCGCGTTCGTACTCATGCCTACTCTCACCAGCGCACTCGTCGGCGCTTAGTGACGCACCTAGAACGCCCGTAAGACGCCAATCAGGTCGATTCTTCATGGTCTTCTGTTCCGAGTTTTGCACACCCATGTTCTTATTCGTGATGTACGTAGTCACAGGAACTAACGTTAATCTTCATTCACCTTTGCCCAAGTTAACTTTTTGTCACTGACACACTCACAAAAACTCGAGTTGACTTTTGCCTATACACATTCACTAACATTTGTCAACACCCTTAGCAGTAAATGTGGAGACCTAAACACAGCTGGAAAACTCGTTTGCTCCAGCGCAACAAAATCGTTTTAAGACCTTTTACAGCTCTTTGTTGTCATTTTGCAACATGGCAAGGTGACTCCAAGGAGGCCTAAAAGTAACAGCTGCTGAAGTCGCGACACAAAAGTGTAATGCGTGTGTGTTGTTCTACTACGCTTGCATGTGTATTTCGGTGCCCTCACAACTTGCTTCTGGTTTCCACCTCAGCCAAGTTGATGTCGATATCGCAAGGTGCTTAATCAGTTGTGTGGCGCACTACGTTTGCCTGTTCTTTAGAACATGTCTTTCGAGTCTCTTCTTATCGTACTTTCCTATGTTAGCTACCTCTTGATTAATTTCACCATGTAAAAATACCCAGAATAATAAAGTGTCTCATTTGGTGGAACTCTTGGCAGTCACGCAAGCATTATCCAATTGGGACGTAAACAAACCAGATATAGAAATTTTCTAAAGCCACCATAAAGAAAAGCAATAACGTACTGAGTCCTTGCACCCACTAATCGGGACATTAGCTTAAGCATACGCAGACAAATAGGGAATGTTAACTTCAACTGAAATTCTGAGTTTTCTGCTTCGGCAGGTCCTATTTTCTCTATCCTGCAAAGATGGAAAGTCACAGTGCGTTTCAGAAATGTCATCTCCAACGAAAATACACGGGCTGCCTTCCCTCGGTATGAGTACTTTTGTTTTCTTAACATGTGTTTCATTTCACCTTCATTTTTCCAGCTTTCATAGAAGGTTTGAATCGGGGTCAGTGTATGTACATTGTGGCAGTCTCTTGTTAGGTAACTTTGAAGTCCCTGTTCAGGGACTCTCGCTTCAATTCTTTAATGCAGTTGTTTTTAATTAGAACAGACAATGATACCTAGGGAAGTGTGGGCAATGTTACCAGTAGTAATTGTAATGTAAATGTATAGAAGGAAAATTGGGCGAAAAGACAACTTGCCGTGAGCAGGATCTAACCCCTATATATATATATTATATATATATATATATATATATATATATATATATATATATATATATATATATATATATATATATATATATAATCGGGAAAAGAAGTGTATACCTAAGGGCTCGTTTTTCCGTGTTTTGACACATTATTGTCACGACGCAGACACAGCAGGAGTTCGATATAGAAGAGCTCACTTTAATTAAAAATGAAAGGCGCTCGTAAAGAAAACCGGGCAAGAGCTTCGTCTTCTTCTCTGGCTGTGCGAGCTCTCCTCTGCAGGTTGAATGCGGCATTTGCCTCCCTCCAGGAAGAGCATCGACCCGATGCTCGGCTACAGAATACACGGTGTATGTAGTTGACGTATTACGCAACTGGCTCACTGTAATATGGCTTCATCTGCACAACGTGTACGATTTCAGATTTTTGAGCTCGCGAAGAACTGTCAGGGATGACCTCATGATTCACGTCACTTAGGCGCCGTATAACATTGTAGGGACCAAAGTACTTCTTCAATAACTTTTCACAAAGGCCGCGTCGGCGAATAGGGCTCCAGACCCACACTTTTTCGCCTGGTTGATAAGTGACGTATCGGTGTCGCAGGTTTTAACGTTGTGCGTCATAACTCTGCTGTCGGGCGATTCGCACGCGTGCTAGCTGCCGTGCCTCTTCAGCTCGTTGGGTAAAGGCTTGAACATCCGTGTCTGTATCCTCGCAGTCGTGCAGCAGCATGGCATCAAGCATTGTCGTCACTCCACAGCCATAAAGTAGACTAAATGGCGTGCTCCGCGTAGTTTCCTGCTGCGCCGTATTATAAGCAAACGTCACGTATGGTAGAACGTCGTCCCAATTTTTATGATCCACGTCGATGTACATACTAAGCATATCAGCAATTGTCTTGTTGAGGCGTTCTGTTGAGCCATTGGTTTGTGGGTGGTAGGAGGTAGTTTTTCGATGCGCTGTTCCACTCAACTCAAGCACTGACTTGAGGAGCATGGCCGTGAAAGCGGTACCTCTGTCTGTTATTATAATTCTAGGAGCACCATGCCTCAGAACGATATTTTCAATGAAAAATCGTGCCGCTTCTACTGCGGTTCCACTTGATAAAGCCTTTGTTTCTGCGTAGCGAGTAAGATAGTCCGTAGCGACAATTACCCACTTATTTCCAGTATGCGAAGTCGGAAAGGGTCCAAGGAGATCCATTCCGATTTGTGCAAAAGGCATGGTGGGCACTTGAACTGGTTGCAACAATCCGGCTGGTTTTAAATGTGGCAATTTTCGTCGTTGACAATCGAGACACGTGCGGACGTAATGCTTTACAGTGCCTGGAAGCTTCAGCCAGTAGTACTTTTGTTGGATTCTGGCCAATGTGCGCGTGTATCCGAGGTGGCCGGAGGTTGGCTCATCGTGGCAAGCGCTCAGGATCTCATCGCGAATGGATGTCGGGACGACAAGTAAGTGGGCATTTCCGCTGGGGGCAAAGTTCTTCTTGTATAGGACACCACTGCGCAAGCAGAATGATGGCAGGCTCCTTGCAAATATCTTGGGAACGCTTGTAGACTGGCCGTTAAGAAAATTAATAAGATGGAGCAACTCACTGTCTTCTTTCTGCTTAGACGAAATGGTGACCGTGTCGACCACTCCTAAAAATGCCATGTCATCATCTTCTGAGACATCATCTTGCTTTATAGGCGACCTGGATAAGCAATCAGCATCAGAGTGCTGTCGTCCCGACTTATAGACGACCGTCATATCGAATTCTTGTAGGCGTAAGCTCCAGCGCGCTAGCCGACCGGATTGGTCCTTCAAGTTGGTCAGCCAGCAAAGAGAGTGGTGGTCGCTGACTACGTGGAAGGGACGGCCGTAGAGGTATGGGCGAAACTTCAGAACTGCCCATACTACAGCAAGACATTCCTTTTCCGTTGTGGAATAATGGGACTCGGCACGGGAAAGCGTCCTACTTGCATATGCAATCACTCTCTCGGCTGAGTCTTGCCACTGGACGAGTACAGCGCCTAAAGCTACGTTGCTGGCATCAGTGTGGATCATGGTTGGAGCGTCCTCGTCAAAGTGAGCAAGCACAGGGGGTGTCTGCAGGCGCTGTCATAGACCGTCAAATGCTGCTTGTTCCTCTTCGCCCCATAAAAATGGAACATCGTCTCTCGTTATGTGTGTTAAGGGCGACGCTATGTGCGAGAAATTGGCGATAAATCTGCGGTAGTAGGCGCAAAGGCCAAGAAAACGTCTTACGGCCTTCTTTTCTGTTGGCACCGGAAATTTTCGGACGGCGTCGATCTTGTCGGGGTCCGGACGAACACCTTCATGGCTCACCACATGTCCTAAGAATCGGAGTTCTTTGAAACCGAAATGACATTTCTCAGGTTTCAGCGATAAGCCAGCGGACCGTATTGCTCGAAATACTAATAGCAGCCGTCTTAGATGTTCCTCGAATGTTGGTGAGAAAACAATGACGTCGTCGAGGTATACCAGACACGTCTGCCACTTAAGGCCTGATAGGACGGTATCCATCAGTCTCTGAAATGTTGCTGGGGCTGAGCACAATCCGAAGGGCAAGACTTTAAACTCGTAAAGCCCGTCAGGCGTAACAAAAGCAGTCTTTTCTCTGTCCCGCTCATCGACCTCGATTTGCCAAACTCCGCTTTTCAGGTCCATCGACGAGAAGAAGCGTGCATGCCTCAGCCTGTCAAGTGAATCGTCAATATGCGGTAGTGGGTATACGTCTTTCTTTGTCACGTGGTTCAGCTTGCGGTAGTCCACACAGAAGCGTAAGCTGCCGTCTTTCTTCTTAACTAGCACTACCGGTGATGCCCAGGGGCTTTTTGACGGCTGAATGATGTCATCATTGAGCATTTTCTGGACTTGTTCTTGGATTGCTTCGCGTTCTATCGGTGCCACGCGGTATGGGTTTTGTCGAATTCGTCGTGCCGTCTCTTCCGTTATAATTCGGTGCTTTGTCAGTGGCGTTTGATTTACTCTCGAGGTCGACGAAAAACAATCTTCAAACTGGCCGAGAATATCTAGAAGACTCTGCCTCTGCGCTGGCGATAAATCTGTGCTCACGTCGACAGGCAGTGGTGTTGAAGCGGCCGACGTCTCTGCCTGTTGTACTGCGAAGCACTCGCGGAATTCTACAATTTCTTCGAAGTATGCAACTGTGGTACCCTCTGCAATGTGTCGACGCTCGTTGCTGAAGTTTGTCAACAGGACCTCTGCTTGCCCAGACACTACACTGACGAGACTTCTGGCAATAGCGATTCCTCGAGAGAGAGTAAAAGCGTCGATATTTGTTCCGAGACACCTTCTCCACTATGCTGCGTGTTACACGTGACAGAGACGAGGCGGCATGACAACGGTGGCATGGTCACGTCGTCAATCACGCGCATGGGCTTGCGCTGCAGCGCTGCGCTATGGTCCGCTGAGAAGGTCAGTACACCGTCCGGTATATTTATAATGGCACCGTACTCCCGCAGGAAATCCATACCCAAGATGGCCTGTTTACAACACTCAGAAAGAATAATGAAGGTTGCCACGAATGATGAATCCCCGATCTTGATTCGTGCGGTGCACTTTCCCGTAGGTGTCAGCAGCTGGCCTCCGGCTCCTCGAATTTGCGGCCCCGTCCATTCCATTTTTACCTTCTTGAGTTGGTCGGCCAGATTCGCACTCATTATTGAAAAGTCCGCACCAGTGTCGACCAGTGCGGTCACGTCGTGACCGTCAATTGAAAGTGTAATGTCGGCGGTGACAATCTCGTCTTTCGTCGGTTCATTCGAAATGTGTGGCACTTCATGCGGCGGCAATGGGGGATTTTCAAATCTTCGGCAATTCGCAACCTTCCCCCCTAAGGTCGCTGCTTTTAGTTTCCCCGGCGTGGACTGGGAGACCTTCCTCTCGCCATGTCCGTGGTGCTACCTCTATTAGATCGGGGAAAGTAACCTGGGGAGGGCGAGCGTGACCGGAACCCAGGAGAAACGTCTCGCGGGATCGTCGCGCTCGTTTCAACGTTGCGTCTTCCATCGAAATAGCGCCGAGGGGTAGTGGACGGAAATCCTTGATACCCGGCAACGCGATGAGGACAATACCGCACAATGTGGCCTGCTTCCCCACAATGGAAGCACAGGGGTTTGTAGTCAGGGGTACGCCATATGTCGGTTTTGCGGAGTGGGGGTCGCATCGGCGTCGACGTTTCTCTGTAGTACCAAGGCACTGTCGGCGGCTGTTGCTGGTGGTACTGTTGAGGTGGCGGCACGTTAGATCTAGGCTGTCGACGGAGAATATCTGCATATGTTGGCCTAACTATTTCAGTGTTTGGCTCGGGAAGTGAAAGCGCTTGCCTTATTTCTTGGCGAACAACTTCTGTGACCGACGCAATCGCGCAGTCATTGGGTGTGGCGGCGAGCTTCTTCGCCTCTTCTTGCACAATTTCGCGTATCAGGTCACGCAAAGAACGCTCGTCAGGAGTCACCGTGGTCATGGCGGTTGCGCTGATTTGTCCGCTGTTGTTTGGACGGTCGTACTGGCGGTACCGTAGCTGTAGTGCGCGTTCTATGGCGGTCGCCTCCTTCGAAAATTCGTCGACGTTTGAAGGTGGGTTCCGTACGAGACCAGCAAACAGCTGCTCTTTAACACCACGCATGAGGTGGCTGATCTTTCTGTTCTCGGACATGTCGGGATCGGCTCGATGAAAGAGACGAG